TTGGACTTGAACTCTTCGGCTCAAGCTATCTTCTTGCCTCAGCTAGAGCTACAGGCATGTGCCATAGCACCTGGCTTAAACTTTTTATAGCACTTTGTTATACCAAAGTCTTCGAGATTATTTAGTTAAATAATTTGGTCTTTTCTTTTATGACTTCTGGGTTTTGTGTCTGGCCTTCCCTACCAAATAATTATAAAAAAATTCTCCTATAATTTATTCTAATTCCATGTGTTTCTGTATGTTTAACACTTAGCCTTTCTACATTATGTAGAATTTATTTTTCTCTCTAGCATAAGGTAGGAATTTAACTTAATTTCATTCCAAAATGGGTGGTCAATTGTCCTAACACCATTTGCTAAATAATCCATTGCTTTCCTTCTGAGTTGAAACAGCATCTTTATCATATCTTGAAATCTGTTTCTGTTTCATAATTTTCTAAGAGTCTATTTCTATTTATTCTGTTTCATTAATCTATTATCTTTTGTGTAACAGTATTATATTGTTTTAATTATTATGGCATCATGGGATATTTTTGTATCTGGTAGGTTAAGCTTTTTCCTTTTTTGTTTTATTTATTTTACATTCTCTCCCCCAAATTAAATTTTTTAAACTCATTTTTTGGGAAACATTTTGAATTGGATGAAAAAATCCTACTGATATTTACTAGGAAAGAGAGAGAACCATTATCATGTCCAATCTCCAGCAATCTTTCCTTAATTCCAACATTTAATGTATGAGTAGAAAGTACACTGTTTGTTCCATTAGAGTTCATGGCTGATGTCTTCATTGTATAATATATCCATTGTCTAATACTTTATCACTTTTAAATGGCCCTCTTCTTATAATGGTTTTTGCATCAATTATACTATATTAATACTATCATCTCAGATTTTTAAGTTCATTTGTTTCTTAACTTGCCTTCCCTTTTATTTTAAACCTTTCTTTTCTGTTTTAAATGTGTCTCAGGAATAATACAGGATGGGATTTTTGTTTTGACCTAGAATATCTCTTAACAGTTTAAACCACAAGCCAGGCATAGTGGTGTGTGCCTATACTCCCATCTACTTGAGATACTGAGGCGGGAGGATCCCTTGAGCTATGATCCCAGTGAGCTATGATCACACCACTGCACTCCAGCCTGGGTGACAGAGTGAGACACCATCTCAAAACAAAGAAAAAATCCTAGCTCTCTGGGAGGCTGAGGCGGGCAGATTGTTTGAGCTCAGGAGTTCGAAACCAGCCTGAGCAAGAGCGAGACCCCGTCTCTACTAAAATTAGAAAGAAATTAATTGGACAAC